CAACCTGTTAACTGACTGGACTGATGGTAACAAAGTAATTGTGGGAGCCATGTCGGTCAAAAATTTGGCATCTGCTGAAAAAAATGAATGCCATTTTCAAGTTCCCAAATTACTTCTATACTGATTTCACTTTCCAGAAATGGAGATATGAAAAGATTCTCTGGAATCCTTGAAAGACTTAATAGAAATACATGAGACTAAGTTAATTTTGGAACAAAATTATATATTTTTTTTGTCTTTCATGGGAGTGATACTCAGTTCTTTGCATACCTTTTAAAAATTGTAACCGTTGGAGAAGAGAATTACAGTATTTCATCAAGGAATGTTAGATTCTTTACATAATCAAGAGTACATTCTATGGAATTACATTTAGTGGAGTAGAATTACATAAACAGGCCATCAGTGATCACAAGGCATATCATGAGTTTGTATTTGTTTCCTGGAACACGAGAGCTAATCTGAAGTACAGACAGACGTTTCGGAGTAGAAAAGTTAATGTAAAGTCCTTAACTATAAAGAGTAGTCTTTAAATAGATGCATTGATTTGTCTGTATATCTTTGGAAAAATTGATTATGATGAAATGTCTGGGTAGTTAATTGCAATTCAGGGTAATACCAGGATGTCTGGATTCTGAAGTTTTGGCTTGAGCTTTGTCTGAGTACTTGACACTTGAATATTTTGAGGTCTCTAATGAATGGTATACTAGTTTCTACTGTTTTATATTAAAGTTTCTGTAGTGTTATGTAAGGGCTTTAGTATTCTGGATGATGGGAGTGGCTTTTTTTGTGGAATATGGTTGTTTTATTTAATTGAAACATTTTTCCAGTTTATTACAAGTGTGAAAAAAACACTCAAAACTCTGGATTGTTTTATTTCATTTTTGTTGGATTATGTTAATACATTCTTTCACCTGGTCTAGACTGAGTCATATTATCTGACTCTTTTTCCGGAAGTATGCAGATGATAGAAGTGGGAGGGGGTAGGAGATAGGTTCTTATTTCTTTTCTTTCTAGAATGATTCATCATCATAACTATACAGTTTGGTTATTGTATGATATCATACAAAACTTATTAAATCCACTCAGTTTCTTATAATCTAAGTGTATTCAGTGCCTGTGATGCCAGGCAGCAAAGAGCATTCCTAATGCCTTATACTTAAGTGACTAATAGATGGTCCTACAGTACAAACAGTACAGCTAGTCATAATTCCACAATCAAAGATTAGGCATCAACACTATTTGGTGACCATAACTACTGCTTTGTTAGAACACAGTGGATCATTCACTGATAATGAGTAATTATCTTTTCTTGCAGCGCTATCAGTACTATGCTGAATTTATTATGTATATTATTTCTAACATCCAAAACTAAATACTTGATTTTTATATGTTTATTTTATGATATTACTATTAAATTTTTATTATCTACCTGAAAAAAAAAAAAGTAATTATCTTTTAAAATGTGTGACTACCTAGTTCAGCATTTTGAACGTATAGTTTAAGGTCTCACTAATTTAGTCAGGTTTTTTTTTTTTTTAAGATTTTATTTATTTATTTTTCCCCCAAAGCCCCAGTACATAGTTGTCTGTCATAGCTGCACATCCTTCTAGTTGCTGTATGTGGGACACGGCCTCAGCATGGCTGGAGGAGTGGTGCCTCGGTGCGCACCCGGGATCCGAACCCGGGCCGCCGGCAGCGGAGAGCACGCACTTAACCGCTAAGCCACGGGGCCGGCCCATAGTCAGGTTTTTAAGTTAAAAAATCTAATGACTCTTGAAAGTCAAATAGGTAGTAAAATATTTTCAAGTGTTTATTTTCCCAGACTCACTATCAATACAAAGTTTTGAGACCCTCCCAAATGTTTATATTTTTATATTTTACTGTGCTGTTTATTCTTCAGAAACCAGGTAGTTACTGTCTAAGCCAGGGATTAAAAAGGGGACATCTTCCATTAGAAACTTGTAGAGTGTTTTGTTTGGCCAGCACAGTATTTTTCACATATCTGAACCTGAATACCTCAATACTCTTTCTACCAGTCACTCCCTGTTGTCTTATAATACCAGACTGAGCTCTCACCTAGACTGCAAATGGTCATTTACATTCAGTTTTGAAGTGCAGAAAAATTAAACTAAGTAATTTAAATTTTATTCAGGAAGTAAATTATCATTAAGAACATAAATCCTGTAATATTAGAGAAAAATTGATTTTTAAGATATAGGTACAGAAAGTTGCTCACTAGCTTGCCTTTTCACTGCTTTGGTTACTGATAATAGTGTTTTTATTCTTAGTTTTTTTACCTTTCCCCAATTTCTACATTCAAGATTTCTTAGTTACAGCTATTTTCCCCACTTTTTAAAAAGAACCCAGTTCACAGTAGACTTCAATAATTTTTGTACTTTTGTTGACCCAAAATTACTAGTTTTTTTGAAAATATTTTGCTCAGTTTTCAGTTAATTTATAAATCTAGTCACTAATAATGTTTTGAATATTTGTGTAGTTCTGTTAATATGCACAGATTTGAATTTTATTGGTGGCCCAACTTCCTTTAGTCTTCTGAATTCTGTGTCTTTCCTATATACCCACTGAGTTCAGTTTCCTAGACCCCTCTGGCTTTTGGTGTACTATAGTTGGGGGTATACAAATTATATTAATATCTTAATTTAAGTATAATATAATATGAACCCTCTTTTTAAAAGCCAAATAACTATACAAAGTTGTAAAACAGAGATTTAAATGGTTTATTGTGACTGAACTGAAATATTAAAAACTTGTTCTGACAGATGCAGTGTTCTTTAGGTCTTAGCTACAAATGACTGTTTCCTTAAACTGTAATGCAGATCACAGTGGGTTCACACGTCACTTGTCTGCCCCCTGACCAAAAATTTTGATAAAGTAGGTAGCAACGGATTTAAAATATCATGTTTTTTTCTTACGTTGCCCATTTCTACTAATTGAAAAGATGATTTAGGAAATACATGGTAGAGGACAGATGTTAGAAAGAAATACTTTTTGGTTAGAGAAACCATTGTAAACTCTTGTATCCATTTATAGATGGTATTATGCTAGGGACTAAATACTGTGGGAATGTTTAAGGATAAGTAAACAATTTATACTAAATTATCAATTTAGTTATATCAGTGGGTTTTGAATTATCCAAGTTGGTTACACCATTCTCTATTTTTAAGGAGTCTAATTTAGTAATTTGGGTATCTTATTTTTGAAGTCAGGAATTACTTGTAATTCATTGCTTTTTCCACTGTGCTAAGTAGAACTCGGCTTTAAATAAAAGTGACAATGCAGATAAAACTCTGACCCCAAATTATACATTTTATCTTGATATTCCAACTTGTAAAATGAACAGGTAATTTTTTTTCCTTTTAAATTATATATTTTTTTCCTAGTTGTAAAAGTAAAGCATATTCATTATAGAAAACTAGGGAAATCCAGAAAGGAATCAAGACAAAAAGAAAAATCACCCATAATTCTATAACCCAGAGAATATCCACAGTAAAACATAGATTCTTTTGCCTCATATTGGGATCAGTTTTTTTATAAGTTTGGTAGGGAATACATTTTAGGTACCTGTTGAAAGAACAAACAATCTTTGGTTTCTGAAAAACTGAAAATGTATTTTTTTAATTTCACTTGAATTTTAAATCTTTTGCTGCACTGCTTAATTTATTTAGAGACACTGAAAGCCTATTTCACTTGTGAAGCTGCCTTTTCTAGGTGACAGGCTAAATTCTCCTTTCATATAATCTTAAGTAGCTTAAGATTACTTAACAGATATTTCACTATATTTGGAAGGAATAGTTAAGATGCCTGTGAATATGATCTAGAATGGCACTTAATATTTTGGTCAGTAAGATTGGCTTGTTTCATAAGAAAATGTTGGTCTAGATCTGTGCTGTCCAGTACTGTAGCCATTAGCCTGTGGTAAAATTTTAAATTAATTAAAATTAAAAATCCAGTTATTCAATTACAGTAGTCACATTTCAGGTGCTCAACAGCCACATATGGCTAGTGGCTAACATTGTCAGTCAGACATAAAACATTTCCATCATCATAGAAAGTTCTGTTGCACAATGCTGATTTAGATGCTGTCACATAAGAAAATGGTTTAAAGAACTAAGATGAAAAGTTTCAGGAAGGGGAACACAGTAGGTCACTTCAAAAATGTAAATAATCTTAGGAAATGAGGAATAGACTGGCTATTTCAGAAAACAAACCCAGGAGCAATAGGAAGAATATGGCTACCATTTGAGTGCCTGATATGTTAGTTGCTATGTTAGGCAACTTACATGTTATGTAATACCAATCTTGAGTGAGGTTATTGATGAGGATACTGAGGGCCAGAGAAGTTAATTAACTTGCTTAGCATCACACAGCTAAAAAAGAGGCTTGAGTCTATGTGATTCCAAAGAACCATCCCACACTACTAGATGGAAGCTTCTAAGATAGAATTTGCCTCAATCAAAGAATATAGCTTTCCAAGGATATAAATGAGGTGATTTTTGAAGTAGGTAACTATATCATTAGAACAGCTTAAGCTGAGCCTGAATAACCATCTGTCAGGAATACTGGAGTTGATCCCTCTGTGAGGAAGGTTGTTAAATATGTTCTAAGATTCTATGGATTAATAATACCTATGGAAACACTGAATTGGGAAAATGTAGTGTTAAGTAACATTTGCTATAGTGTATTGATACCTATTTCTCCCCATTTTCATTCCTGCTTGGATTCTTTATGAGGGCTTCAGTGGAAACTGCTGTATGGTTATTTTTTCCTGTGTTAAAGACCAAACTGCCCAATGTACGGGAGTAGAGTGAGTGAGGTGGAAGAGACGTTATTGGGCAAACTAGATAAGTTATGCCCTTGTTTAAGTGGGTAGCCTTTACTGGTTGCCCTGTGTAGCCTTTTGTTGTAGGTCCCAGAATTTTACCTCATGTGATAAATTACAAGTCTATGTTTATTCATACATGAGACATAGGTTATTTTTACAATTTTATTTTTGTGTACACGTTTGTTTATCACTGAAATTCTAGGCCAGGTTCAGGTAACTGAAGAGCCTTTATCAGTAGTTTATATTGTCTAGATCCAAGGTATGCTGCAAATCCAGTCTGGAGCAAAATGGGAAATAACATCTTTCTAAAGACAGGCTTAGAAATTCTAATCCAGTAAGTTAAGATGTTTCCTTTCTCTGGTAGTGGGGCTGACGCATACCTGTGAGAAAATATTGAGACAGTTCATTAGAAAAAATAGTTGTATCAAGTGGCAAACCTCTGTACAATATATATTAATCCCAGAAGTCTTAAGATGAAACTAGTTTAGATAAAGATTAAGGCAATGCTATTCTCTTCAGTGTCTATTAGTCCTAAAAACTATCCTTTTCTTTTGTCCCTTTCTCCATTTCACCTCTGGGGCTCATATGGCATAGACTGCTAGATACAAGAGTTCATCAGAGAATAACTGAATTATTTTGGAGTAGCAGGCTTATAGCTAGACATTTTCTGATGGAATTTTCCTTTAGTGGAAGTGCTCAAACTCTTAAGAACATAGTGTATATAATGTAGCTTTCACACTAGGCATAGTACTGTTTGCAGCTTTGTAGCTGGCATTCAGTACACCAGTTAAGGTTAAGAACCTAACTACACACCCTGGAGGGGTACAGTGTGATAAATTTCTAGAACTGTTTTCAAATTCTTGAGAAGTAATATTTGATTACTTATAAGAAAAAAGCCTTATTAACTCTTTCAAATAAAAATGGTAACATTGCTTTAAAAATAGAAAATGTACAACTTAAAACAGCAAATACATTTTTTAGGTAACTATTTATATATTATGAAAGTTTTTCAATGATAATGAGAAAACAAAGAATCGTACCTGGCTGCTAGGCCACCATTCACAGGTATAGCCAAGATAACAGGGTACAGACCACCAAAAACAAGACCAACCACTCCACCCCGTGTTATGGTACAGGTTTCACAGTTCAAATCACCTAGGAAATAAATTAATTAGTTCTGGAAATGATGCTCATGATAGTCAAGCAAACATGATTTAAAGAATGCAAGGTCCCCTTCTATGTATCACAGATACTCAGTTTTCAGGCAGTAATAGAGCAAATGCAATTCTACAAGGCATGTTAAAAGGTATAATTACATGTACTAATAATCTAAAATAGCCAGGAATAACTGATAAAAGCATCTTAGGAAAAATTCTCTAATTTGTTCAACTTGAATATAATAATCTCAGTTTGTGCTGCTTCTAGCTTTCTGCACTTGAATTAGCAAACCAGATGTAATATTTTTCTGTCTTTAAGAAACTTTTTTTAATGGGAATTTTTCTTTTTACAATTTATACTTAATCTTATATTTTTACATTATATAGTATGACTATTTTTATAAAATACTTTACAATTTTATTCAAATTAGTATATTTATCCAAATTATTACTAATTTATCCAAATTAGTGTAAGGTATATTAAAAATAGAAAGCTAAGTTAATAACTTAGTTTTCACTCAGTCTGTTCAGTTCATTGGGCAGTAGGTTTCCCGGGATCATAAAAATTCTTTCCACACAGATCACGGGGATTCAAGCAAAATACTCATCCAATTTAAACAAATTTGAAGTAGCACTTAACAGAAGAGAATTTAAATGGACTGCCTCCCTCTCCACCACCATTGGTGGTAAGATTTTTATTTGAAATCATTAATCAAATTTTTTATGATTAGCTATACTCAAAGCCCTCAGCACATATGGTAAACTGTCTAAAGGAAATCAAGTCTCCATATACTTGATAATTTTTATATATACATTTAGTGCTTTGAGAAATTTACTAAATGAAGACTCTTATTCCCATAAAATTTTTTTCCCTTTAAGGAAATTCTCTATAAAATTTTTTTTAAAACTAAGGCAGTCAGCATTTAAAAAAAGTTTCCAAATATTTCTTACTCTAAGCACCGTGGGAAACATAAGTTAGATAAAGGATTTAGAATTGCTATGTGTGTGCATTTTACTTGTTTGCTAGACCATACTAATATGAATTAATTGCTGCTTTACATGGAGATGCTAACAAGGTTCAATCTTATCCAAGTACTGACTACATTATAGCATATAACTACTTGATATTAATAGTTAATGATTAATGTAAGTTGCAAATAATATATACCAAAGAAAACTCTGGTGATAGTGAAATAGAATTTACCTGTATTCAAAGGTAAACTTACAAAACCTTTGTAAGATGCGTGTGCCGTCAAAAATGGAATCACTGCCATTGGTAAGCCAGCAGATATACGAGCCTGTGTCACATTTAAGATGCGTCGAAAAAGGCTATTTGCTATTAGGCCACAGAGAGCAGCATTAAGTCCAATATATGTTGATCCATTTTCAAGGAGATTCCTGAGTGGGTGAGAAAAAACAGTAACTTTTTTTTGGCTCTACTGTGTGTGTGTGAGCTCTCCAACAATTCTGGCCTATGTTACAGAACTTATCAGGACTTTAGGAATAACAAGATTCAGCATTTATCCCTTATAGCTCCATAAAACAAAAACCTTTTAAAATCATTATGTTTTACACACAGACTTTTTATTCTAAAAGGCTTTTGAATTTGGCCAACGCTTAAGGATACAGTGAAACATTCAGATTTTGCAAAATGTATTTTTGGATTTTTAAGGATATTAGTATAGAAATTTCGCCCCAACTGTATAGCAAGAAGAGCTTCTGAAGAGTGATTTGGATGCCTCCTCTGGGCTCCCACAATACCCAATAATTACCTCTCTAGCACAACACATTATACGATGGTAGGATGGTAGTATCTTATAATCATTGATTTACATGTCAGGCTTCCCCACTAGGCTGTAAACAACTTGAAGACAATAGATACAAAGATATATTTGTCTTGGTTTCAAGAGAGCATGACACACAGAAAGCATTCAATGAGGTGGAATTAATATGTTTCCTTCCACTCTTCTCTGAAGCATTCGAGTTAGGATTGGGGGGTCGGCAGAGTGCTAACATTTAAAACATACTCTATGCTAGGTACTTTACAACAACCCATTGATACAAAGAAGAATAAATTGAAGTTTTGAGATAGTGAGTGGTAGAACTGGTTTTTAAGCCACGGTATTATGAGTTTAAAATGCAATGTTCTATGCATTCTTTAGTTTTGGAAAAAATAACATGTAAAATTATTGTTGGATATTGAAAATACTCCAATTTAAACTCCTCAGCCCACTGCTTAACTTTTTTACTACCTGCCGTGCCATCTACAACACAGGCGTCAACCTCTTAAATTTCTCATTACTCTTAATTAGGCAAACCAGCCACACAAAACCCCCTCTAACTTGTATGGTTAACGTTCATCTTAAAACAGCTTTTCTAGGAATTCCTAATTGAGCTTCCTACATTGTATAAGGTATTACTTTTCTTACCTGTCACTTTGCAATCATAATGGTGCTTGTCATTCAACCATTGAGCACCTACTACATGCAGCAGACTTCAGTGTTTTCATAGTTTATTGTTGGAGGATGAAACACATATAAACTTGAGATATAACAGAAGTCTATTAAAATGATAATGGTAGTACGAGAGAGGCAGTTTAGAAACTTAGGGTCCACGAGATAATTTTTAAACAGTGATGAGAGCCTAGAGAACCTACCAGACAATAACAACTGAAAACACAAATGTGAAGGACCCGTGTATTTTTGTGGGAGCTGGAGGGAATGGGAAAGTTAAGCACTTCTTCTAAAATATTATTTTCATATCAATCCTGTGAAATATATATTATCTCCATTTTAGTCAGGAACCAATGTTCAGAGGTAAGTAATTTGCCCATTTTTTATATTAATAATAATTATGATTATCAATATATAAATTATATTGATATATGTTAAATATAATAAAAACATATAAATAAATACATAAATAAAACAAGGAGTGCAACTAGAATCTGAATAGCAAAGTTTGCTATCTCCCAACCAAATTTTAATTTCCTATGGCTTAAAGTCACCTTTTTATTTTCTTTTTTTGTGAAGATTAGCCCTGAGCTAATATCTGCTACCAATCCTCCTTCTTTTGCTGAGGAAGACTGGCCCTGGGCTAACATCCGTGCCCGTCTTCCTCTACTTTATATGGGACGCCGCCACAGCATGGCTTGATAAGAGGTGCATCTGTCTGCACCCGGGATCCGAACCTATGAACCTCAGGCTGCCGAAGCAGAGCGCGCGAACCCAACCACTACGCCAGCGGGCCGGCCCTAAAGTCACATTTTTTAGTTAATAATTCAATAAGTACAAAATTGTTATTATCTAACAGCCCTGTTGCCAGTCAATTTTCAAAAAAAGTGCCTATACAACTAGAAAGTCATGACTTTTTGACAAGACATACACACAAAATAACTAGACACATGAACTAAACATGAAAATTTAAGACCAGATTTAACAACAGCAATGAAATATATGGTACGTGAAACTATTTTGTATTTCAAACCCATCCTTTTTTCATCTCACCTGCCACCACCCTACCATCACCACTCACCAGGATTACTATGCCAGTTTTCCAACTGGTCTGCTTACTTCCTTTTCTCTCCTACTTTAAATCTATTTTCCAAAAAGCAACTGGAATCTTCTTTAGAAATGTTAGGTGGATCACATCATCAAGCATAAAACTCTTCCTGTTCCTTCAAGCTTATGCCCTCTTCCCTTGTACTTTAGTAACTGGTTCCTCAAATATGACAAACTCTTTGCTCTCCTGTCGCCTAGGCATATGCCCTTCCCTTTGCCTGAGACACTGTCCCTCCCTCCTCCCCAGGCTGGCTCCTTTTTATCCTTTTTGGTCTCAGATTTTCAGTTTAAATGGAACCTACTCAGGCCTTCTTGCCAAGGAGGTCTAAATATTTTGTGGAAGTGCACTGTAGTTCACTCAGTGTTGTCTTCAAAGATCAGTGTGTTTCCTATATAGCCTTTTTCTATTTAATAATATCTTAAAGATCTTTTAGCCATGATCCTGTTTCTCTGACATTCCTCGCCTAGCTATGTGTGTTATACGGCACTCTTAGACTGGTAAGCATGACAGAAATGAATTGAGAAAGAAGACAATTTAAAAGCTATTTTAAAGTTTTATTATTTAAATGAGTCTATAAATGTTTACATTTGACTATACTCTAAGCCAACCAGAAAAACTGAGAACCATCATATAATTAGATATGTCCAAAGACATGAATTCTAGCCTTGACTTCAAGCAAAATGGTTAATCTCTCTGGGGCTCGGTTTTCTTATCAAGGCAAGAAAAAGGGCTGTTTCCTTCTGACATTCTATGTTGTTTATACTCAGACAAATAAATTTGAGATAATGAATCAATAATGAAAATCCACCTGGTAAAAAATATTTTTAAGGGATCTTACCTTTCTGCTTCTGGAAGTTGGTTAATTTTTCTGGTTATGATATCAAAAATTTTTTCCTTGACGGTATCATCTGGTTCATGATTTTCCATCTTGAGCCTTAAAAAAATTAAAACATCGTTTTTCAATAATGTATATGTACAGAAAAACAACAAAAGGGCTTATAATAAGCATTCTGAAGACCATACATATTTAATTTTAAAAGAAATAACTATAGATTGAATCCATAATCTGAAAAATCAAATGCAAACACACCATGCCAAAAAAAAAAAAAAAATCAGTTCAAAGTGAAATAGAAACCAGAACGTGAAAGGCAACAAATAAAGCTTCTAGGAAATACAGAATGTCTTTATAACTCTTAAAAATATTTCTTAATTCACAAATAGCACTAAACATTAAGACATTAAACTAATATTAACTAATTAAAAAGAACTTATATTCATCAATAGATACCATAAAGATAAGCTAGTGTGGGAGAAAATGTTTGTGACATAACTGACAAAGGAATAGTTAGTACCCACAATATGTAAAGTACAAATCAACAAGAAAAAAGCAAGCAACCGAATAGAAAAATTGACAAAAGGTTTGAACAGGCACTTCACAAAGAGTAAAGCCAAATAGCCAATAAACATGAAAATAGCTTAACCTTATTAAAATCAGGAAAATAGAAATTAAAACCAGCAAGATACCAATATATACCTAGGTTGGCTAAAATAAAAACGTGACAATTTCAATTACGGGCAAGAATGTGGGGTAACTGAAAACTCTCATGTGCTGCTAGTGGAAGCGTAAATTGTACCCAATTTGGGTATGAACACTATGGAAAAGAATTTGGTGGTATTTAGTAGGTAGAAGACACATATACCCACCAATTTTACTTCTAGGTATAACCTAGAGCAGAGGTCAGCAAAATTTCCCTCTAAAGGGCCTGACAATATTTTAGGCTTTGCGGGTCACATACGATCTTTGTTGAATAAGTTTTTTTTCTTTTTTTTAAACAACTCTTTATACAAATCATTCTTAGCTGGCTGGCCATACAGAAACAAGCTACAGGCTTTGGTCCACACACCAATAGTTTGTTGATCCATGCACTAGTTGGGGTAAATGTCAGAGTAGAGGGATGGTGAATGATAAGTTTTAGCCTGAAGATTTAGCTCATTAAACAAGATTTCAGGGTAGCTGAGTTAAGAACAGCAAAAGTTCAGAGATAACAGCAAAGAACAACATGGTTTTATGAAGTTAGATTTTCTTAGTTTACTATCTTCCATTTGCTACAAAATTACAACACTAACAAATATTTATTGGGTACCTGTTAGATATGAGAGATCATTTGGAAAATGTTGAGTGCACTGAAATTTCGTATCCCTAGACTTAAAATTAACCTAGTAAGTACAATGCAGGCTTAGAAATGTATATCAAGGTTTCCTGGACTCAAACTTTTTGAGGCCCTTGATTACAATAACATGACAGACACAATCTCTGCCTTACAGGAACTTTGAATGATTTTATGTGTTGGGGGTTAGTGGTGGAGAGAGTAACAAATGCAGTACACGTAGAGAAAGTGTACGGTGCATATGCCGACAATAAAAGAAATTATTTCTTCGGAAACTCCAGCCTAATGCTATCACTAGTTTTCTATTCTATGCTCTGCATATTGGTGAGGTTCCGAGTTCTGTAAACTAGCCATTTCTACGGTGTGGCTACTAAAAGTCACCCTTAATTTGGTAAAAATTCTGACCGAGCAGCCCGCAGTAGGCCACTGTGTTCCCTTTATTAATAATAAATCCCAAAGACAACGCCATCTTTCAATACCACAAACGTTTCAACAGCCTTTTGCATTAGCTATTCCACGTCACTCGAAATAGCTCCGAGATAGGCAATGAGAAGTGGGGCCTCTGAAAATTAAGTTAGGCCTAGGCCACCCTGTAAACTGGCAATAAACCCGGGATTAAATTCAAGAGCAGACATTTTTTTTTTTTTTTTTTGCTATTGGTGTAGTTTAAATATAAGGCCTTTTCTTCTAAGGCGGAAAGTGAAGAGATTGTCGGCGCCCTAGGGCCGACTCCCCCCCCCCGCCCCTTACGACCCAGTCCCGGGATCTCATTCCCGCGCTGTGCCTCCACTGATACCCGGGCGTCTTCTGCATCTCTTTCCCCGGAATGCCAGTACCTTATGCTCTCCCCCCAGCAGTCGGTGCCTTCTTCGGTCTTCCTCAGCAACGCTGCGGCTCACAGCAACCTTTGCCCAACTCGCCCGCGCGCGGCCATCTTTGGCTGACACGTGACTCGGCCCGGGCGAGTGTGCGGTCGCGGCCGCCTATTGGGCTCCCAGGACCGAGGTTGCGGGCAGCAGCGACTTCCTGCTGAGCGGCTTCCAGCCGAGGGAGGTGCCGGGTCGCTGAGCGATGCGATTCGGCGAGCCCGCAGGGTACGCGTGACAGCCTTCCTCTGCCTTCCAGGACAGAGACTGTAGAAACTGAAATTTCGAGATGAAAGTTGAATGACCCTAAACCTGCTCCTTTCACTGTAAACCTGCTTTAGGCACGTTACTTAACTTCCTGGCCAATAGAGCTTACTTCATAATGTTGACAAGGGGTACAAGAAAACTGCATAGCCCTTGGCATACGATGGGTACTCGGTTAAAAAGAAGTAAAAAAGGAGCTGAGATTTCTTTGCTCCATCGATATTCTATTCTTCCTGTATCTTTAGCTTCCTATGCCATGTTAAGATCTGGGTGATTGTCCCACCATAATCTGAGCACCTCAGGAGAAGGAGTTTGTTTTTCTGACGATCCCCTGTGCGCTGCCGAGTACTGCTTATAAAAGCAGGACTGGGTGAATGTGGTGAAAGAAAAACTGGAGAGCGAGGGAGCCTGGTGGCTCCATCAGTCAGAGCAATTGAGAAGCCAAGTCTTGGACCAGGCCTCTGAAGACCTCCGTCTCGGTTCTCATCCTTGCAGCCTCTTTCCTCATCAATAAAACAGGAGGGGAAATAACACTCTCGTTGATCGTTTTGTAAAGCCGTGAAGAGCCAGTAAAAGTGCTTACCAAGGTTGCCTTGAAAATCATTGAGCTTTATCAGAGGGGAAAGTGGTATTCAAGATAAAGGGGAAAACTTCATAGGCAAGGTGAGCAGGAGTAGAAGAGCCCCTAAAACTTCTTGGCTGAGAGGGGTTTATCCGATGTCAAACCGTCTCTAGTCAATGAACCAGAAAATAAAAACAGGTCCTCAGATTCCAAGGTGGATAGTCAGCGCACGTCCCAAATGGAAAGTTTCAGAGGAGAGAATGGGAAAATCAGCTTATTAAGATACTACTTACAACGTGTGCGCATGTGTGAATGCCTTGTTTCCTAACACCCCATTTTGTACTTGTATTCCAATTTCATTTTTAAGGGTTTGAAGCTAATTTTGATATTAATAAATTTTCATGCTGTACAGTATCTGTAGCATGCCATTCTGGAGTAATAAAAGCAATTTAGTGTACTGAGATTTTATAGAAAATCAGTTCTCCACAAGACAAGATGAAATGTCCATTTTATCTAAGTTCTCAAATTTATTGGCTTAAATCGTTCATAATATTCCCTTATCCTTTAAAATCTGTAGAATCTATAGTGAGGTCACATCGCTCTTTCTTGATATTGGGTCATTTGTGTTTTCACTTTTTTGTGTCTTATCAATCTGGCTAATGGTTTATCGTTGTTTTGATCTCAAATGACCAGTTTTTATTTCATTGAGTTTTTGTTGTTGTTTTTCCTGTTTTCAATTTGTTTATTTTCTGCTCTGATCTGTATTATTTCCTTTCTTATTCTTACCTGGGGTTTAAGTGGCTCCTCTTTTTCTAATTTCTTAAGGGGGAAGCTGAGATGATGATCTTTTCTCCCCCCTAACATACGTGTTTAGTGCTATGAATTTCCCTCCAGTACTGCTTTAACTGTATCTCACAGATTTTGAAATGTTGTTTATTATTTTAATTCATTTCAAAATACTTTCTAATTTCTGTTTGCTTTTTCTTTTGACCTATGGGTTATTTGGAAGTGTGTTGGTTTCCTGATAGTTCCAATTTTCCAGATAACTTTCTGTTGTTGATTTCTAATTCAATTCCATTGTGGTCAGAAAATATACTTGTATATATCATACTTTGTATGATTTGAATCCTTTTAAATTTATTGATATTTATAGCCCAGATTCTGGTCCATCTTGGTAAATGTTCCATGTATAATTGAAAAGAATGTATTTGCTGCTGTTGTTGTATCAAGTATTTGAAAACATCAATCAGCACAAGTTGGTTGATAGCATTGTTTTAAGACTTCCTTGTCCTTTCTGAATTTCTACCAACTTGTTCTATCAATGATTGAGGGAAGGTTATTGAAATCTCCAACTGTTACAGGAATTTTCCAACTTCTCCTTTCAGTTCTGTCAGCTCTTGCTTCATGTATTTTGAAGCTCTGTTATTATATGATTAAACATTTAAGATGAATTGATCTCTGTATCATTATGAAATAACTTTCTTAATCCTTGGACATAACTTTTGCTTTGCAATTTACTTTGTTTAATATTCATATAGCCACTCCAATATCTTTCTTTTGATTAGTGTTAACTGACATAGCTTTTCCCATCCTTTAACTTTTAACCTGTTTGTGTCTTTATATTTAAGGCTTTATATTTAAGGGTTTATATTGCAGGCTTCTTATAGGCAGTATATAATTGGATTTTGTTTTTTATCTAAATTGACAATTTCTGACTTTGAATGAAAGATGTTTAGACCATTTATATTTAATATTATTTTTATATTTTAGGGTTTCAGTCTATCATCTTGCTATTTGTTTTCTATTTGTACTATCTGTTCTACATTCCCCTTTTCCTTTCTTCTGCTTTTTTTTTTTTGACTAATTGAATTGTTTTTATTCCATTTTATTCCTTTGTTGGCCTATTAGCAATAATTCTTTTAAAAAATTGTAATGATTGCTTAGCATGTCTGGTATGCATCCTATATTAGTTTCCTCAGGCTACTGTAAGAAAGTGCCACAAACTGGGTGACTTAAAACAGCAAGTTTATTTATTCACTATTTTGGAGGCTAGAAGTCTGAAATCAATGTATTGGCAGGGTTGTTTCCTGCTGGATATGTTTCATTCTTCTCTCCCAGCTTTTGATGGTTGCTGGCAATCCTTGATATCTCTGGGCTTATAGATGCATTGCTCCAATCTCTGCTTCTGTCTTTGCATGGCCATTTTCCCTCTGTCTATGTCTGTGTATCCAACTTTCTCTTGTCTTATAAGGACACCCGTCATTGGTTAAGGGCTCACCCTAATCCAGTATACCCATCTTAACTTGATTGCATTTGAAAAGACCCTTTTTCCAAATAAGGATACATTTACAGGTACTGGGGAATAGAACTTGAAAATGTATTTCAGAGAGTCACAATGCAAGCCACATCTTTAACATCACAATCTATCTGCAAGTAATATTCTACCACTTTACATATATTATAAGAATGTTGTAGCAGTATACTTTCATTTCTTTCTTCTTGGTGTTTGTGTTGTCCTATGTTTACTTCTAATATGTTATAAACCACACAATACATAGTTATTATTTTTTATTTCAATAGTCATTTGTCTTTGAAAGAATTTTTTAGAAAAAGAAAAAATTTATCCACATATTTGCTATCCACATCTCTAGTGCTCTTCATTCTTTTCATAGATCCATATTCCATCTGGTATCATTTTCCTTCTCTCCAAAGTATTCTGTTTAACATTTCTTAGAATGCAAATCTTCTGGTGGTGAATTCTTTCACATTTTGCAAGTCTAAAAAGTCTTTAGCCTCAGTTTTTAAAATTATGGTAAGAAACACATAATGTTAAATTTACTATGTTAACCATTTTTAAGTGTATAGTTCAGTAATGCTAAGTATATTCACATTGTTATGCAACAGATCTCTAGAACTTTTTCGTCTTGCAACACTGAACCCTATACCCACTTAACACTAAATTCTCCTCTCCACTCCCCCAGCCCTTGGTAACCCCCTTTCTGCTTTCTGTTTCTATGAATTTGAGAACTTGAGATACTTCATATGAGAGGAATCATATATTATTTGTCCTTTTCTGACTGGCTTATTTAGCATAATGTCCTCAAGTTTCATTTGTTTTGTAGCATTTGACAGGATTTCCTTCTTTTTTAAGGCTGCTTAATATTCCAGATTATGTATATGTATATGACACATTTTCTGGTTTCTTTTTTTTGGGTGAGTAAGATTGGCCCTTACCTAACATCTGTTGCCAGTCCTCCTCTTTTTGCTTGAGTAAGATTTTCCTCAGCTAACATCCATGCCAATCTTCCTCTATTTTGTATGTGGAATGTGGCCACAGCCTGGCTTGATGAGCAGTGTGTTGGTCTGCACTTAGGATCCAAACCCATGAGCCCCGGGCCGCCAAAGCAGAGCACGTGAATCTAACCACTATGCCACTGGGCTGGCCCCCTGCCACATTTTCTTTGTTCATTCATCCATTGATGGACATTTGCGTTGATTCTACCATTTGGTTATTGTGAATCATACTGTGATAAACATGGGTGTGCAAATATCTCTTCAAGACTCTGCTTTGGATTCTATTGGATATATACTCACAAGTGAGATTGTTAGATCATGTAGTATTTCTAGTGTTATTTTTTTGAGGAAACTCCATACTGTTTTCTATAACGACCATACTATTTTGCATTCCTACCAAGAATGCACAAGGGTTCCAACTTCTCTGCATCCTTGCTAGCACTTGTTATTTTCTGTTCTTTGGATAGTGGCCATCCTGATGGGTATCTCATAGGGGATATCTCATAGTGGTTTTGATTTTCATGTTCCTAATGATTAGTGATATTGAGCATCTTTTTATGTGCTTACTGGCCATTTGTATATATTCCTTTAAGAAATATCTATTCAAGTCATTTAGCCATATTCTAAGAAAACTGTTTTTGTTCTTCTTGTTGTTGAGTTGTAGAGTTCCTTATATATTCTGGATATTAACCCCTTATCAGATATATGACTTGCAATTATTTTCTCCTATTCCATAGGTTGCCTTTTCATTCTGTTGATTGTTTCCTTTGACATGAATAAGTTTTTAAGTTTGAGGTACTCACATTTGTCTATTTTTGATTTTGTTGCCTGTGCTTTTGGTGTCATAGCCAAGAAATCATTGCCAAGTCCAGTGTCCTGAAGTTATTCCCCCTATGTCTTATTCTAGGAGTTTTGTAGTTTCTGGTCTTACATTTAGGTCTTTAATCCATTTTGAGTTGGGTCTTTGGATATGG